AGGAAAGGCAGGGGGCAGACCACAGAGCTCTTAGGAGGGGTTAGAGAGCTACTGCAAGCTTCTTCCCTTGGTGTACTGCCAACACCGCTCCCACTCCGACCGCCTAAGCCCCAGTGAGTAAAACCTCCTTTCAGCATTGCATCATCTGTATCTCCCCTTTTCCCTGCAGATTACAGCTTCTCAGAGCTAGGCTACGGGACTGAATCCTTGCCCAGCTAGTCCCTGGTAGGTAGAGGAGCACTTGCCTCTACTAGCTCCTGGGTATAGAAGGAACCTAAAGGAGAGTTTGGTGGGCAAGTGGGGATCTAGGCCGTCAGTGCGACTCTGCCTCTGACAAATCATAGAAGCGACTCTGCCTCTGACGAATCACTAGACCTGGAAGGGCCCTCGAGAGGTCAAGTCCAGTCCCCTGCCCTTATGGTAGGATGAAGCACCATCTATATCATCCCTGACAGGTGTCTAACCTGCTCTTAAGTATCTCCAGTGGTAGAGATTCCCCAACTTCCCTTGGCAATTTATTCCAGTGTTTATCACCCTGACAGGAAGTTTTTCCTGATGTCCAAGCAAACCCTCCCTTGCTGCAGTTTAAGCCCATTGCTTCTTGTCCTGTCCTCAGAGGCCAAGGAGAACAATTTTCTCCCTCTTCCTTGTAACACCCTGTCACAGGGTCACATGCCCCTTGGGGGGTAAATCTAGCCCAGCAGCCAAGTCTATACTGCCCCCTACCTGGGGTAAATATGGCCCAACAGCCAAGTATATAATGCCCCCTACGTGGGGGTAAATACGGCCAAGTGTCCGAGTCTATAATGCCCCCTGTCTGGGGATAAATATGGCCCAACAGCCAAGTCAATATGGCCTAGCAGCTGAATCTATACTGCCCCCAATCTGGGGTGAATATGGCCCAGCGGCCAAGTCTATAATGCCCTATCTGGGGTAAATATGGCCCAGTGTCCGAGTCTATAATGCACCTTGTCTGGGGCGCAAGGGTAGAGGGGTCCAGGCCCTCCCTCTCCACTGGGCCCCATCAGCAGTGGATGGTTCCCACCACCGGCTGGGCAGGGAGTTACCCCTGAAGCATGCCGAGTTCTCCGGGATACCTCCTGCTCCCTGCCCTGCTTCCTACCCCCGTCCGCTGGCTGGCCCCGTCCCCACCTGGGCTGCTTGTCTGGGGCGCAAGGGTAGAGGGGTCCAGGCCCTCCCTCTCCACTG